AGCAAGTAAATGCGTGTACACTGGGCAATTTTCCATCAACTTCATAGTTTGGTTAACTATGCTTTTTATTCCAGAGACGAGGCCAAGGGCGTGTCTGTCATATGTGCTGGGCAACCAAGGAATTAGTAAATGCGTGTACACTGGGCAATTTTCCATCAAGTTCATAGTTTGGTTAACTATGCGTTTTATTCCAGAGACGAAGCCGAGGGCGTGTCTGTCATATATGCTGGGCAACCAAGGAATTTTTTTTCCGAAGGACGGGAAATGACTATCCCGGGACAGGAAACCAGATAAACATGCTGGTGCAGTAGCACATGTTCCTCTTTTGAAATATCTATTTCACTGAGGATTGAATCCACAGTCAAAACAATTAATGTACAAACATTGTTGGGTCAATGACTGAAAAATGTGCTGTTAAGTTGTTCATTGAAAGACATTTTTTCATGTCTGCTTGCAAAAGCTCCCACATGCACCTCGAACAGCAGCTGATTCACAGCCGACAGGACAAACCCACTCATGTGTCCTCTGCTCGAGCCTCCTACACAACAGCCCAACTCCACGGTACACAACATTAAAGCTTAAGCAGCAACACCCACTGCTTCCTTTTATAGGAAACATATGCAAAGACCAAGACTGCAAATACTGTTCTATGCTTTGTCTATCAGCAATTAACATGAGTATTATTGACGTAATTGCAGTTGCAACCTCAAAAGTCAAACGTCCGGAACAGAAGACTTGGGTTCAACCTTGCAGGACTTAAGCCCATCTGTTGTGTTTTTTTTCTTTTTTTCCCCTCCCATATTAGGAGACCAGTGATGAAAAAAAGCAAAACTGTGATGATAACAATAGAATTAAAAAAATGTAGTTTGAAGTTTCTTTGACATAGGAAAGCATCTGCTGAGTACAACATGTGCAATATCCATCTTCTACACCGCCAAAGAGGTAGCAGCAGAAGAAGAAGATCTTCTGGCTTCAAGACAAAGCAAGATCGCAGGGGAAACAAATTATGGTCATATTTTTTGTGCAGTAGAACAGATAAATAATCATTTTTAATTTTTTAATTTAAGACTCGTTTTCCATTTTTCAACTCCCAGTAGTGAAACGAAAAGTTTGAGATGACTTGAGCCCATTCAACAAGAAAGCAACACTGCCTCCTAGAGTAGGGAGGACAGATGGGCCATTTTTCGCATGAATGTTTCCAATGTGTTTGGATATCTTGACTGCAGCATGCTTGTCAAACCTCTATATCGTTTTTGCAAGTGAAATGATTCAATTCGGTTTGATTAAATTGGATTATGATTTGATTCAAATGGTGTGGCTGGAGTTTTTGTCATGTTTATTGATATGTAACATGGTGCAAAAGGTCGACAAAGGCCAAGCTATTAGAGTTAATTAAATTTAAAGAAACCACAAATCATCAGAGAAATCAAGCCAATTCATATCTGGTTTACACTCTCTCTTAAAAGACGAATCGATGAGTATCTCGATACATGAGCTGCGATATGATACAAAGATTGAACATTTTAAACTGCCGCGATTCAACTTGATTTAAAAAAAGACACAACTTGGTTGCAGTATCGCAGCTGTCTGTCATTTTTAAAGGGTTTTTTACTTGAATTTGTTTTATTATACAGTGGTTAACGTCTCTTTACACTTGAATGACAGTTTGGAATGTTAAATGCTTGTAATGATTTCTGACTTTGCCACTTTGCTCCCGTGATGAATTATTTCGCTTTAAAATTGTTTTTCAAAGTCGCCAGGATCCAGGTTGCGTTGCAGACTGAGAATAATGGAGTTTTTAAAAATAAATATTCAAAAGCTCACACAGTGGATGCAGCAGGGTTAAAAACATCTGGAGCTCATTAAAATGATACCTACCCTCTTCTTCTCCCATCTCGACTATTTTTGGGAGCAACATGCATTGCAAGAGCACTTTGTACAGCGCGTACTTAAGTGATATACTTCACTTTATTAAAACCGTCAAAAGATTGCTTTGACAGAATTAAAACCGAATTAACCCCTGGACACACAAGACATACTTGCAAACAAACGTGATCCAAATAAAACCCCTCAAGTGGATTTTGGCAACAGGACGCATTTTTTCCGTTTCTTCAAGACTTCCTCCTCTCCAAAAGGGCAGATTTAAGGGCAAACATCCTCGTTCGTTATGATTATCGACGACAGTATACATGTCAAATTAGCCACTTTGCCTGCATGAGCTACTGCAACACGGCGGATTAAATGAAACAACACTGATCCTCACTTTGGGGTGCGCCTTTGCAGAAGACTTGATCAGATGACTAGTGTCCCGTATCTTAAAGAGGCGATGTAAGCAACGACTAAATGTTGACAATCAGCTGACATGACACATCTTCATGCACTGTTGCATGATTGACGATCCGCAAAAACAGTTGAGGATACGCATGATGTCTTACCTGGGTTTGTTCTATAAAAATAATCTCGGAAAAATCGTGTCCTTGCGTGTGTTCACAAGGGAGAGGCACCAGATGATACACACACTGTGGTTTCCATCGTCAAAAAAGAAGCATTGATTTCCTCAAATTAAGGTATTATGGTAGTGGCAGGTCGACCCGAGTGGGTGTGAGTGTGAACGTGTGTGTGTGAATGTGTGTTTGTGTGGGTTTTAATCGTCATGGGTCTGAAGCTCCCTCTCACTCACTTGTTTAAAAGAGTGACGTCAAAGTAGAAGTAAACACGAGGCTCCAACATCCGCTCGTCCCTTTCGCAATAACGTCGTAAAGACAAGCGAAACCCTCACTTCGTCTTGTGTCATTACTGGCGAATAAACGTGATTACAACGCAAAACATGGGTCATGGCCTTGACAAAGGCAAATTGGAAGGAATTAAATCGATGCTGGCTTGTTTTAATGAGAGATAAAGGAAGAGTTTAACTCATTACCTGCGCCACACGATCAATCGTGAGCCGAGAATTGAGCAATAATACTGCATTTAACGACGTAAACGTTGTTGTCGTTTGCCACGTTAAGCCTCCTGAGACGAAAGTCCAACAACCCCACCAAATAAAAAAAAATGCAGAATTGATATTGGTCGTTTTATTATTTTGAAGGCACTCACATAAGTAGCTTCCTGCCCTAAAACACGAGCCTTTTCTATTTTCCTGCAATTTCTAAAGCTGTCCGCAGCCAGTCGTCGGCCTTCCTTCTCCCTACCTCCTCTAATATCTATCCCAGGCTCCTGTGGCCGGATCCGAACTGTTTTCTTTCTTGCTACTTTATCAAAATGAGTTCTCTTAGTATGGTTACAATTCAGTGTCTTTTATGGATCCCGTCTACAAATACAATCAACAATCCTCTTTTTCTGTGGTTAAACAATTTAATATCCTTCATCAATTTGATGGGTTAGTCACCGGCTTTCCCAAAAACATTTTGATTCTCTTGAATAAATCTGAGGACGAAATTGTGTTAAAATCTTGTACAAAACAGAGACATTTTTCTCGCCTGACCGGGAGCTCAGCACTCCTAAACATTTGATCCTCAAAAAACAAAACCTTGGTCTAGACTGATCTTCTGATAAGAAATAACCAAGATGTTTGGGAAATCAGGACAAAGCTGCCCAAGGGAACATGCCAAGGGCGTATATTTTCATTTTCCCTATGACAACAGTGAAGACAAGGAAGCTGGGATGAAGCAAGGGGGAACTTATTATTTTAATAGTGTATGCTTGTGAGTGTTTGGTCAACAATGCAGTTTTGCACAAAACAAAAGCAGAAAACAAAACAATCAAGACAGAGAGACAGAAAGAAGTTCTTTCAAACAATCACTGAAATCAATAAACAACTCATCAGTTTTCTGTCGTGTTTGTCCTCATTAGAATCAAGTGAGCTGGAGCCAATCCCAGTAAGCTTTGGTAGAGAGGTGAGGTGCACCTTGGACTGGTTACCAGTCAACCACTGGCCACCTATACACAAACAACCATTCACATTCAAAAATATGGGAAAGGTAGACTACAGAACCGAAAAACACATACATGTTTTGGATTGAGGAAGGAAGGAAACAAAATTGTGAAAAAAACTTTGGGGAAAATTGGTGGACTGGTTAGCACATAGGCCTCACAGTGCAGCACGTAGGCCTCACAGTACGGAGGTAGAGGTTTTGATGGTGTGGCTGCGGCCCTTGGGTGTGGAGTTTGTATGTTCATCCTGTGCCTGTGTGGGTTTTCTCCGGGTACTCCAGTTTCCTCTCACATTCTAAAAAAATGCATGGCAGATTAATGGTACACTCAAAATTGTCACTAGGTGTGAGCGTGAATGGTTGTTCGTCTAAGTGTGCCCTGCGATTGGCTGGCAGCCGATACAGAGTATCCCTTGCCAACTGCTTGAAGACAGCTGGGATTGGTTCCAGCACGCCCATGACCCTCGTCAGCATAAACAGATTAGAAAATGGATGGATGGATGAACACTCTATATTGTCCCTAAGTGCGATTGTGAGTGTGAATGGTTGTTTGTCTATGTGTGCCCTGTGACTGGCTGGCAAACAGTTGAGGGTGTACCCCGCCCATTGGCCGAGGACAGCTGGGATGGACTCCAGCACACCCACGACTCTTGTGCGGATAAAGCATTTCAGATGATGGATGGATGGATTTTATTTTTGTGAAAAAATGCACAAAATGAGTTTTTCTACTCAATGTTGGTTTTGTTTTTAGCAGTTTTATGCCGTCTGTTAATGGCCATTTTCATGCAAGGGAGCCCTTTGTCCTAGGAAAAAAATTACAGTATGTGTTTTATTTTTTGTTTGCTTCAAAACTTTTGTTGTTGGGTTAGGATCGTCGACCTTTTACACATGCAGTGAATTATCAGAAATGAAGATAATTCACTGCAATACTATATTAACGGCACTATATTAACGGCACGTATTCTGCACATATGCACATATTTTGTCCATATTTAAAATATCATTTTTGGTGTACATCTGGTTAGGAAATGCATCCTAAGTGGACCCCCAGGAGCACTGATGAAGAACTGTAGGCCCCTCCATCATTTAAGTTGCCGATCCCTGCTCTTGATTCCGCTGAAAGAATTTTGAATTATGCATAAAACAAACGTGTTAGATCAAAATAAGAAAGATATTCTGTTAATATTTTTCTGTGGTCCGTTATTAGTGCAAACTGGATGATTGAAGATGCTTCAAATCAAACTCTTGCAGGGAAAGTAATTGTCTTATTATGTATCTGGAGCCTACTGTGTAATCACAATGAGAGCAAGAATGACTGAGAACAAGGGGCCATTATTAGAAAGCACTGATAAAGCACAAGAGTAAACAAACGCACAATTGCTGCAATTCACTTCTGTGCATACTTTTATATTGTATCTGCAAACACTACTTACTTAACAGTTCTACAAAGTATTACGCTGAGACAACTCTTGCACCTTATGTACACTTGGGACTGTCCTGCTAACGTAAGAACTCTACAGGATTAAACAGCTAAGTAAATGTAGTCCTAGCCTTAATCTTAAATCAACAAAAGTGCATTATAGGCCAAATGATTTTATTCTAAGGGTGTGTCTTTTCTCGGAGGGATTTGGATATATTGATGGATGCGGGGGATCACAAATTTAGTCAAAAATAAAGGAGGCAGCCTGTGGCTTTTTTGTTGTTGTTGTTCAAGGAATGCATAAGTTTCTTCATGGCCTTTGATTTGCCAACAAGCTTTTCGAAAAGGAGCAAGTTTCTCCAGCCCGAGTCAGGACACGTTTGTTGATTCAGTTCCGGACAGATCCTGCTGCTTGGAAGAAATGTTGCAATAATGAATTAGCTTTGCTATGAAAGTGAGTCAGCATTGTTCTACGGAACTGCTGAAGTAAAAGAGTCAATTAAAAAAAAAAGATACTTCAGTCTTCAGATTGTTGATTAATGATTGTGAAAAGAATATGTGCAATTCTTGATGATTCATGATTTTAAACAGAGCTGCAGTACAAATAGGAATATATTACTTTTGTTGTATGCGGTATTGTGTTCATATAATATTCATTTTTATGGGTCTAGTGGTTAGCATGTCTGCCTCACATGTTTTAATAATGGGGGTTGTAATCAGAGGATCCAAAGGAAACCCGATGTCTGCCTCACATGTTTTAATAATGGGGGTTGTAATCAGAGGATCCAAAGGAAACCCGCGCAAGCATGGGGATAACATGCCGACACTGGCTGGAGCT